TCTCTCTCTCTCTCTCTCTCTCTCTCTCTCTCTCTCTCTCTCTCTCTCTCTCTCTCTCTCTCTCTCTCTCTCTCTCTCTCTCTCTCTTCCTTCCAAATTCTGAGGTTCTCCTTTGGTGTCAATTGCCTTCTCTAATATTCTTGAGCTTTGGGTGTTTTTTTTTAATGCAGGAAATGTGGGCGTTGTACGATTACTGCTGCGAAGGTCTTCTCGGAGATCTACAATAGTAAGCAGCTCGTGCTGGTCATTTCTTCTCCTTTCCTCATTCCTCCTTTCTGCATTACCAGTCCCACTCTCCCTGGTCTTGGAGCAAATGCGCGTCCCCTACCCGGGACTGCAGCTCCATTCGGTTATGCATTGATGTGAAGCCCTTTCCTTGGGCCTCGATCATGATTGACTCCTGAATTTCTATCTGGCCTGGAGTCCCACGAACATTATCAGAGAACGGAGTTGTAAAGCTTCTTGTATAGAGAGAATCCAAAGCTCTGTGACATGGGCATTCTTTGCTCATTGATTCTCTCTGTTTGGTAAGGATGCATTTAGCCTTAGAGGCAAAGCGGGGAGGGACAGGGAGGCAGTGGGTGTTCGTCAGAGGTGGCAGCAGATGCAGACCCTGCCATGGTGCACTGGATGATCGATCACCTTTACTCTCTCTGCAAATTTCAGCAGTTGGTGACATTTTATGGTGAAGTAAGGCTTCACTTAGCAAATTTCAGCAGTTGGTGACCTTTTATGGTCAAGTAAGGATATACTTACCTGCAAATGTGAGAGAACGAGTGTCAATGCACTCCGATGTGGTCGCTATAGTGCGTTTCTGAGTATGATTTAGGTACAGTTTGCTCACCTGATTTCAAGCTGCAGAACTGATGCAGCGAAAGAAACGGCTTCACAGTTCCTGGCCGCACAATCTCTTCTTGGCTGCTTCCTCAGGATAATGGTGAGGAGACACTTTGTGGACTGCCCGGGCTAACATTTTGAACTTTTCTTATGCGTTTGGAGTCTTGAACTGAAGCCTTTTTTAAAAATCTTTTATGATTTGTGTTGTGTGGTGCCTGTTGCTTGTCGCACTCATTGCAGCTTCAGAGAAGAATATGAGAAGAAAATCACTAATGGTAGCCATAAAGAGGCATCGCAGAGGGAGAAGGTTATTGGGAATGCTGCTGCCAAGGTAACAGATGGAATGGAAAAGCGGTGGTTGCTCTGACTCTTGTAGCTTGCCGTCTTTCACAACTGGCATGACTTTGGGGTCTTTTCTCATGCTGTTTTGGGAATGAGGGACCCTTTCTAGGAGTCAGTCTTGGTCTTTGCAGGGCTTGTTTTCTTACCGTTTCTAGGAGTCAGTCTTGGTCTTTGGTGGGCTTCTTTCCTTGTTGTGTGTTGCAAACGGTTCCGGAAAATATACGCAGTTGTGTGGTTGTGTAAAAAAGTGGTGTGAATTCTGTGGAAGCCATATGCAAGGATGTCGGTTTTAGATTCAGAGGTTTTGGTGGGATGCATGTGCTGCGTTGCCTGCAGGTGTGCATTTTATTCTCACATGATGCATAATAACTCCTTGGCCATGCCTGCACAACTGCACATGTGCATGTTGTGAAGACGTGAACTTCTTTTCAAACCGCAAGTACCTCCGAGCCCCATTTTCCTGACGTGGATTTGTTCTGTTTGCCAAATCAAAAACGAACTGGTGCGGCACAATTCTTTCTGCTTTTGGCTGGTGCGTGGGCCAGAGAGGTCCAGCAGACCAAGCCCGCAAAAATGGTGGTTTCGTAGAGCCCCCAAAAATGACCGTTTCATAGAGCCCCCCAAAATGGTGGTTGCATACGAATGAGTCAGAAGATAGTGGCTGCGAAAGTTAAGGGACAGCAAATATGCATCAACTTTTATTCATCGGCCTGACCAGCTTTAGGGATATCAGTTCTCCTACCCTGTTGCAGGTTTGAGTCAAAGTCGCCGTGACCGGCACTCCCAGTAGTTCGGGGGCTTCCTATTTTTATGCAGGTTTTGCTCAGTTGGCTATGGCTTTTGTATGACTATGGTTCCCTGCACACTCCTGGCATGTTGTGCTGGGCTTCGATCTGCATCCGAATTGTTCAACCTGATTGAGCCTGGATACGGGACTGCATGCTTCTCGTCGCAGTGCATTTGAAATTACTATTGTGGGGACTATGTGGCTGGTTTGTCATGTGAATGCCAGTGTTCAGCTACAATTTTAACTCCCGCCGCCTTTGGGTTGTGGAAATCTGACCTGCATCGTACAGGCTCTACGTAATCGTATTGCCCCGTTCTTCTTGCGTCGGGAGAAAAAAGATGTATTTCCGTCAAGGGCAAAAAGTGATGATGATACAGGGGCCACTGAAGCAAGTCAGTCGTCAGAGACGGCATCAACAGCCGGGAAGGAAAGCACCCTCGGGAGAAAGAATGACCTCATTGTGTGGCTTCCGCCGACAAGGACACAGGTATTCCACCCCTGCGGGACCCCCCCACAATCAGTTAAGACCCTGTTGTCCACACTGTGCGGTGCTCATTTTTTTTGTCCCCTTCTTTGTCAGTGGAGAGAACAATCTGAGGAGGGCTCTTTTCACTGTGCATCTGCGGTGCCTGCTTGACAAGTTGATGATGCATACGCTTCTGGTACTTTTTGCTCTTGAACAGATATGATGCTGACGTGTCTACAATTCTGGTAATTTTTGCTCTTGTTGTGTGCTAACTGTATGGCTAAATGTTTTGCACAGGCGCATCAAGATTGTTTGGCTTTCTCACCAATTTGCTTTCTCTTGTTGTCATGCACGGCCTGTGTGACTTGCATATTTTGTCTTTGTAGGAGCGCCTTTACGTGACGTTTACCCAGAGTGACTATGTCAAGTCCATTCTGAATGAGAGCCGATCGGCTCTCGCAGCTCTTGGGGTGAGCAACTTTCCCCTTCGATTGTCAGGGTTGGTTAGCTTGTGGGATGCTGCTCTTATGTCCTTTGGTCGTCACTTGGCACTGCCATCTTTTCCGGAAACCACCTGCACTTGTGCAGGGCCTGTATTTCGTGACTGGTCACTAGGATGGTCCATTTTGATCTGGAAGTTTTTCAAGAAAGCTGTTTAGTCTCTTATGCTGATCGAAACGCTGCGTGGTTGCTTTTCTTTTCTCGTTTGCTGTCATTGCATTCCTCTGAGTATGGCTCAATTTGTTTCCCACTAGGGCCCTGTCATGACTCACAGTTAAACAAATCTCCAATCCCTTTTCATGACCAACCTGTCGGCCTCGGCTGGCTTACACAAATGGAAGCTGATGTAAATGTGTGCATGAGTGTCTATCTGGGGCTATGCTGTAGCGGGTGATGCTTCTGAAGCGAAAGGCTGTTGTTACAGACGAACACTGAGCAAGTGGCTGCAGACATACGCTAGGTGTGGAATCAACAGAAAATAAGTTCAGGCTGCTTCTTTTGCACCCAAGGCTGACATATATTCACACAGTCTTAAAGCACAGCTAAGGGAGAACGTGGTCTGCTTGTTGCTGTAATCTACTGTTCGATGGCCAACCTGTGGACGGATGATCCCCACCTATCCAGGATGAACACTGAACTGTCGGCTCTTGTATCGCTAGAGTGATAGTCAATGATAGTCAACACTTAGCTCTCATGAAGGGTAAAGCCCACTACTGACTAACGCTGCTCATTGTTATGGTTATAAACATCAGTGTTATACAATCTTGGAGCTTTATCAAGTCGAGGGGTAGTTGTTGATCTGAGCTTCTGAATCCATCTTTGTGTGTATGGTGCTTTTCTGTGTTGAAAGCTTGTACGCGAACTACTCGATTGCTTTAATGCCTCTCATTGTTGTAGTTGTAAACATAAGCGCTGTATGCTCTTGGAGTTTTATCAAGTCAAGGGGTAGTAGTCGATCTGAATTGCTGAATCCATCTATGTGTATGGTGCTTTTCCTGTGTTGAAAGCCTGTATGCGAACTACTTGATTGCTTTAACGCCTGTCATTATTTTGGTTGTAGACATAAGTGCTGTACGATCTTGGAGTTTTATTAAGTCAAGGGGGCAGTTGTTGATCTGAGTCTCTCAATCCATCTATGTGTGTATGGTTTTCTTTTCTGTGTTGAAAGCTTGTACGTGAACTACTTTATTGGTTTCTCCCCCTCCTCCCCGCCATGTTTAACCTGTTGCATTCTCTGCTGTCATTTCACTTTTTATGACCAGTCTCCTTTTTATGGTTACTCTGGAAAAATACATGACTCCGTAGCGTTATTGCATCAAATAGCGTTCGGTCTCCTGAGTCCTGACCTGTTGGTCGATAGTGCCATATACATGGCCACCTTATATCATGCTTTTCATGGCTTCCTCTTTTCATCATTTTGTCGCTTCTGCAGTTGTACCTGATTCCACGAGTCATCGATGTGTCAATCGACCACATCTTGAATATTTGTTGTTCACCTGTCCTGTCATTGTCATGCTGTGCAACTGTCTTTGATGTTTATTATACTTGATCCATGCTTGCGTTTCTGAGATTTGCTAGACGTGACTTGAAACCACTAGTACCTTACCTTGCTAGCTGTGCGGTGCAGAAAGGGTCAACCTACCGGACTAAAATGACTGGCGGCGTGGCGTAGGCCTTGTCCCTGTGACAGTTTGGAATGTTTGGGGTGGGCAAAAAATGCGCATCTGGAAAAAAAGTATCGGACGTACTGGTGGTTTAATGTGTTGGTTGACCATCTTTGCCAATGTGTCCTGACTCTTCCGATGTCTTGCCGCCCTTCTTGTTTTTCCCGCCGGACGGTTCGGTGTTATGAAGGTCTTGAAGAAGATATGCGTCCATCCTGAGCTTCTGACGAAAAATGCCAGCGACATCATTGAAGAAGGTGCCGAGGAGCTGCTGAATCCAACTTTAAGAACTGCACGGAAAGGGAAAGGAATTGATGACGACTTTGTCGAAGCGGTGGCGATGGCCAAAGAGCTTGTGGAGACTCGGGATTCTGGTATCAGAGAAGAAGACGAAGAACAGTCATGCAAGATAAAGTTCCTGTTTTCACTCATGGTAAGGGTTATTTGTTTCCTAGCTCCTTAGGTGGTGATCCCCACAATGTCGAGTGGGTATTCATTTGACGAAGCCGTCCAGCCAGCTGTTGCTTTCTCTGCTTTTTTTTCGATTGAGAATCCGAGACCACATTTGACAGCATTTCCTCTGTTGTGGCTTGTGCGTTGAATGTGCGGCTTGGTGGCTGTTGGGGGGGACTCTTTTGGTGGGGTCTGCAGTCTGTGGGATTGGGATGGGCGTGAAGTTGTGACTATCTTTCTATGTGCAGGGGAGTAGTGACCCTCGTTCTCTCTGCATCTGGTGATTCAGACAAACTTGAAAACTTGTTATCGACTAGTCTTTGTGGAAGTTTGTTCCGTCATGGGGGCTTCGGTGCTTACTTGAGCTTTTCGTCTTTTTCAGAAAAATCTGATTGCTGACGGACACAGGACCCTCATTTTCAGCCAGTCCAAGAAAATGCTGGACATAATCCAGGTGAGAATGTGTGCTTTGTTAGCAGCCTGCCTAGGCCAGTTGGTACACGCCTGAACTGTTGAACTACAGACCTGAGTTCGAATCCAGATGAATTTACTTTAGGCTGGTTAGCTCAAAGCTGATATCTCAAGGCCATCGCCCTTTTTCAAAAAGAATGTGTGCTTCCGTCTATTCTTCCTCTGTTTTCTTTTCTGGTTCAAGCGCTCCGCACTTATAGATCTCCCACGACTCCAGTTACCTTTACAGACAGACCATGTCGTAGTAAACATCTGGAAAGTGGAAATTCATAGCCTAATTTTGAGGATCTTTGAAGGATGGAATATATTACTTTGCCTGATTCAACTAATGCCTGTGAGAATGCACCTTAAGGAACAGATGGCAAGTGCGTTGCCTACAGCAGGAGGTGAAGTTGTCATTGTGTAGGTGCCATTCTATTTTATGTCTATTATTGAGAATGTATTATCTATATATATATGCTAATTCTAATTATATATACATTCTCAATAAGTGTCAGCCCACGTGTGCTATTGGAAAGCGAGATGTCCGTTTTGATGTGGTCAACAAGAACCCTTCACATGCTTCAGGTAGCCACTGAGGGACAGTTGGCTCATGTTCAGTGGCCAGGAACGATAGAAGGGTCATGTGCGGGATTGGTGCAAGGTGTGCGTGAATTGCCTGTCTGGTGCCATTGGCGTGTGTGAGTGAGTATAGGACATTACACCCATCCACTGAGGGACGGTTGCCTCATCTTCGGTAACCAGGAACAGTGGAAGAGTCATGTGCTGGATTGGAGCAAGGTGTGCGACATTGCCTGTGCGACATTGCCTGTGTGGTGCCGTGTGAGTGTGTGAACGAGTATAGGACATTACAGCCATGCAGGGCTGGGGTTGATATCAAGACTGAGATGACTCTTCTTTTGAATACTGTGTCATGGCTGTAGTGGTTAAGAGTCCCGGCTCTTGTCGCTAAGGGTGCCGGTTCGATTTTATGCTTGCACGGATGGGCCCGAAGCTAGAAAGTACTCATCAGTACCAACTGTTATCTCTGCCCTTGTTTAAGGAAGCTCGATAATGCGAGGGGTGCCCCATCAACAGGATACTTCGTCTTGACAGCGGGTTAATGAAGGTTGCTGTTCAAATGTGTTGGCAGTGGGTAGTCCTGTTAGTGAATTCTAAATATGCAGCCTTGAAGTGGATATGACGGTTTCATTCTTTGACTCTGTCTTGTGAGTTGTACGATTCTAATGGCAACTACAACTCATACATTTAGAGAACTCGGAGCACTATCCAAAACACTATTGAAAGTGCATGCGCGATTCAGACATTACAAAACACCGAATTTCTCCTCTTGCGGATTGAATGGTAGAGATCCATCTCGTCTCCCTCAGGAAAATGACAGCCAATGGTGTCTATAGTGGGAGGCTTTTGCTGCCTGTCGTCATAAGGCCATCGTACTTGTCATTTACTTGCGAGAATTCGTTGCAGAGGGAGCTCTCTTGTTTCCTTGCATCGCCAAAGAACAGGGGGTTCAGACTGATGGAAAAAAATCAGTCTGGCTTGCATTACTTATTTGTAAKGGGTGCATGAGCTTGATTGCCAATGCTGGTGCAAGATATTTTGTCTCGCCCGTCTCCTGCGATGCGGTGGTGTTTTCCCATCCTATAGCTTTGCTTTGCCTTGCCAAGGAATGTCAGCGGGTTTGGACTCATGGCGTGCAGACTCAGGCAGTRCAGCAATTGAAAGTTGTGTAATGACCCGCCAAAAACACAGATTGAGAACAGTGCTGATTTCTGGGATTCGCCGCTGGAATGAATGCCTTGTTGGAATTCCCGCATTCTGCTGTGATTTCCATGTCTGTGTGTGTGTGCKTGCCTGCTGGTTTGCATGCCTGTCTGAGTGYTTGTCGGTTGAGTGTGTGTGTGACCCGCAAGGGTACTTGTTGGTTGCAAGGCCCCGCAGGGCCGGTACTTACCTGTGGCCGTGACTGTGAAGGGTTGCAGGGGGAAAACACTCGAGTAGCGGGGGTAGGCCCGCGGCACTTAGAGCAGAGGGGAGCAGGTAGGCCGGTACCACTGAAGTAGTGGTAGAAGTGTCGGGTACTGAGCAGAAGAAGACAAAAAGTTGGCACTTTTAGAGGCCCAGTAGCGGTAGGATAGTGGTAGGCCGGTACCAGTCCAAGTAGCCCGGGTCTAGGGCCTGTAGGGAGGATAGCAGAGCCTGCAATGATGTTTCCCTCCGAAAGGGAGGAGGTACCGGTTGCTGGGAGGCCGCTTGGCCTAGGAAGTCACCGCCCAGGAGGCCGGTAGGCCGCTATATCTTCAGGAAGAGCGAAGAGCTCTTCCTCATTTGCGGTGTGCAAGGATTGGCGACATGCTGCTGGAGCACAGCGCTGGAGGTACAGCGCTGCTTGGAGGCAGAACGGCCGCTGGGAGCTCAGCCTGGCTATGGCGAGCAACCCAGCTTGAGGAGGTAGGAGAGTGGCGGGGCACTTACCTGGCTATGGAAGACAGCATCTTCATCACCTTGTTGGGCGCTGCATCTGGAAGGCCCCAGTTGGGGTAGTGCGGCACCAGGGAAGCTCGAGGCAGAGTCAGGCATAGCGGACCAAGTCAGCAGCGGCATAGCTGGTCTGCGTTGTCCTTTGGACATCAGCGCAGCACCATAGCTGCTTGAGTTGTCCTTTGGACATCAGCGCAGCACCCTAGCTGCTTGTAGTAGTCCGCCATAGCCTATGCATGAGAGAGGAGGCTGAAGAAGGGAAGCCATAGCTATGGTGGACTGGTTGTTGTTGTGGTTGTTGTTGAGTTGAGTCAGCAGTAAGAGGGAACTTCGGATATTGATTCTGGTTCATCCATTCATTGTTATTATTATTATTATTGAGTGAAGAATAAGATTGGTGAAGTGAAGGAGGAGGAGGAAGGTGGAGAGAGAAGGGGGAATTGTCATTGGTCTTGCTGGTGTTCTTCTTCTTCTTCTTCTTCTTCTTCTTCTTCTTCTTCTTCTTCTTTCTCTCTCCTCTGGTCTTTGTCTCTTTGCAAGTGCTTTCATTTCTTTCGCAATTGGGTGGCATTGTCTTTCATTGTGAATTTGCACTTGGGAAATGACCAGGATTGTAACAGTTGCAAATGTAAACCAGATCAAGTAAAAAGAGAAAGGGAGGGCCAAATGAGGCTCCATGTCCAGAACACTATCAGCTATTAACTGTTCTTACCGGGATGTCGGTGGATCTTGCAGGAAAAAGTGAAGGCCAACAGAGTGAGGCATTGCAGAATTGATGGGGATGTGAGCAAACCGGCAGACCGTCAGAGGCTTGTAGATGTAAGCGGACAACCTCCAACAATTGTGACTGCATATTCTTGAATGTTTCACACTTCACACTAAGTCGTGTCCGTGTAGCTGCAGAAGATAAGATTGTATGTAGTGATGGCACCGCGCACGCCGCTCGCCATGCAGTAACTCTGGTGGACTCTGACATGTGATCAACTTTCGGCACCTATCTCTGTGCGGCTTTTCTTTTTTGTCTGTCCCCTTTTTGCGGTCGATATGCTGCCCGTGCTTGTGACAAGTATGTTGCCTGACTTCTTTTCTAAGGAAGGCGTGCACCTTGGACGTTGTTTGGTCTGCTGCCACAATTCACATGTATTCTGTGTTAAATTCTTCAGTGAGGAAGTTGAAGTGAGCTGGGTTCAAAATCCAACACAAACATAATATTGAAGCCTCAGTCAAGAGTCTTAAGACTGACTGGTCATTAGTAACAGGTGTGTGGTGTCCCGGCATTCATCCAAATGTCCCTCAATGCAGTAGACCGGCATTGCAAGATTCCATCTGCCTGCGCTTGTGCGATAGAGAGAGTGTGTGGCGCTGGTGTTGGGTGAGGTCAAGCGATGATGTGGAAGGTCACCATAGCTTCATTATTGCCCTAGCCTTGGATAGGCCAGCTCCAAGAGAAAGATTGGCTTGAAGACCGACATGTTGTCGGGTTTGGTTGTGAACGAGTGGGGAGAAGCAAGCTACCGGTAGGGGATAGAGGATAGACTGAGGTGGCAAGAGAATACAAGTCTTGGGGAAGGAGAGGGAGAAACAACTTGAACATTGTACTCATTGCTTGTTTTCTGTTAGCATGTTTTCCAACTTCCTGCTCTTCTTCTCCGCATGGCCTTGTCATTCATTGCTATCTCAATTTCGTCGTTGTCATTGATTTGACTCCCTCGTGAACTCGTTTGTGACTAGATTCTGAGCTTCTGAAGTTGGGTTCATCACTACGACGGAGTCCAGATGTTACATCTTCGAGTCACACGGGTCCTACCGGACCCGACTTAGGGCCGGAGGGACACACCAGGGCCTAAAGGCCCGACCTTGAGGGTCACAGGCCCTAAAGGCCTGATTTTGCACTCAGCCCAGCGGGTAGGCCCAAACGACACTTTGTTTGGGCCTGGCGGCACTCTTGAGGCTGCCACCCGCCGATGGAGGCTGAACCGTCCATCTGGACGGTCCAGGGTCTGGCCTGGCCTCGCAGCATTGAGGCCAGACCATGGCCTACCGGTATAAGTACCGGTACCTGCCTCAGTAGAGGCATCGACCTACCGGCACTATACCGGTACGGTATGGTCAGCGCCAGAGCGCTGTCTTGATGCGCTAAACTTAGCGCAGGGGCTGAAGCAGGAGCGCAGCATAGCGCAGATTAGCGCAGCAGCGAGCGGAGCAGCGGCAGGGCGACTGAACCAGCACGGCGGCCATTGCCGCCTGAGGTACTGGGAGCTTGGAGGATCTCTCCTCCTCTCCCTCGCCAGTCCCCTCTCTCTCTCTCTCCTCTTCTCCTCCTCCTTCTTCTTCTTCTTCTTCTTCTTCTTC